TCATATCCAAACCACAACAGTATTCTACTATTCCCATTTTACAGATGGAACAAGAGGAGGAATTTCAGGGAGTTGATGTGCTGACCATATTGACCCTTAAAACCCAGTCTCCATACCCATTTTCATTTTAACATAGCTTACCTTTCTTCCCCATATGTAACCTAAGAGGAAAGTTGAGCGTGGAACAGGAAAATGAGTGAACTACATGCTGCATTTCAAACTATAGTAGGAGTTAAGCAGAGCTTCACTTTTCCCCCAAGTTTGTCAAACAATGGAAAAAAAGGTCATTTATTTTTGCCTGAACATTATAATATAACATTTCAGCATTTTCCATTAAATACAAGGAATTACCACATAACCAAGGCAAGCAAAGAACACTGTAACTGTTCAAGTTTCAGAAATGTCACTGGATATGTTACCAAAGAGGTTTGTTATTCTACATGCCATAAATATTATTGCCTGAGAGGATAAAATGTATGGATTTTAAATTCCTAATCAATGCTTCCAAGCACTTGGATAAGCATTCATGGTTGTAGCTTACTGAGCGTTTTGGTTGTTCCCTCTGACAGACAGCACATTTGTGTGTCTTGATAGAGGTAGTACCAGCTTTCTGGGCTCCAGAGGCTCTGGTTTGGGTTCTTTCACATAGTGTGCATTCATGTGTCCCTGGCTCCATGTTTGCAGGAAGTAGCTTCCTCTAGGTAACATGCCAGGTCTCTTCCTTAGGCCTTTTCTTCTCCACATGACAGGAGTGCTAGTTATGTGATCCACTGGATTTTCAAGGAATCTCTTAGTCAATATTTCCTGAATGTGTGGGCCTACACTGTGAAAAACGTCCCAAACATCAAAGAGTACTTTGCTTCTTGCCTCTTTGCCACGAAGCTGGGAGAGGCAGTAATTCTGAATGAGTGATTTGCTGTGCAGTCTCAAACTATTCCTATGAGAGAGCATTTGAAAGCCCAAATTAACAACCAAATCAAAGTCATGTTAACCAAGCTAGCATTTTAACCCTCATGTTCTTACTCTTTGACTCAGCTCTCAGTTGACTGGAAAAAGGAAATGTTACTTCTTGTCTCTCAAATCAAATAGTAACCAGTACTTCAACCCTCATAATGTCAATGCCAACTGTCAACAACCTGGAGGACCTGGAAAACCAAAAGCAGAACTTGAGATTCTTATCAGTTATTAGTTGCCATTAAATTCCATGGGGGGATCTATATTAGGTGCAGAAAGTCATGATAGCCCTACTATCACTCATTCATTCAATTTATGTTGTTAGCTATGGATTGAATCTTGTACAAGGTGATAGGATATAATGATAGTTAGGACATGCCGCCTGCCTTGAGGAATTTTCAGAATGGTAGAAAAGACAGGCAGATACATGTTCTGTACGATATAGCAAGATGATCAGTGATGTACAGTGACCTCAGAAGCACAAAGCAGGAACTGCTAATTCAGGTCCTTGAGTGATTGGGACTAAGTCAGGTTGGATAAGGAGGAGACAGAAGTGAGTCTCGAAGATGAGAAGTAATTGGATGAAAAGCAAAGGTGGGGAAAGAGTAGTCTAGGCAAGAGGAAAGGGTATGCTCAAGGAAATGCAAAGGATGCAATCAATAACCTAGAAGGGAAAAGCCTGTTGAGAGCTTGATGAGGTTGAAGACCAGCTACAGTGGACATAGAAAGGGGAGAGAATTTTCCCCAGCAAATCTCCCTGTCCCTTCCCCTGCCTGAGCTGTGTCCTGGGGAATGGGATGTACTATGTGCTGAGACCAACAACTCTATCCAAAGCACACGCAGAGGGTGGGTTGGGTAGTTCCCAGAGGGAAGTTGGGGTGTAGTTCTTGGAAGTCTGGTTGCAGAATAGTTAGGTAATATATGTTCACCATGAAGAAGTGGCCAGGGTCAATCTTGCAAGAAATTTCTAGGTGTGAATCATAGCTTTGTCATAACCTACATAAATTACCAACCCCTCTTAGCAGGTAAAATAGAGTCAGTAAAGCTTTCTTTTCAGGGCTTCTCTGGGATAGTATATGTGTTCACTGAGGGAACACAAAATGGGTATTTAGTTAGTGGAAGCTGTTGGCATTACATATTTCTACTGCCATCTTTCTTTCTTCTTCTCCTTTTTTTTTGGAGGGGGAGATGTCTTTCTCATTCTGTGACCTTTCATCCATTTGTAAGTAAAGATTTTAATAACTTTTTAGTTACCTTCTGTTGTGTAAGAACCAAAAAATTTAAAGACTTAAAACAGCAGTGACTTGTGATTTCTTATAATTCTGTGAATTGCCTGGGGCCTAATTAGACAGTTTTATCCTTGTTTATCCTTGGGGTTTTTTCATGAGGCTTGTAGTCTGATGACAGGAGCTGCAGTGTCCATGATGGCTTAAATAACACCTGGTGCCTGGACAGCCATGGCTGGGAAGAAGGACCCAGATGAGACCCTAGGTTGGGAGGCCTTTTCTTCTCATGTTTTCTGCTCCCTGCCCCCTTTGCTTCTTCATGTTGTTGTCTACCAGGTAAGCAGGTCTTCTTGGTGGATCAGATTGTCTAAAAGTACAAAAATGAAAGCAACTAGGATTTTTAGGCTTGCGTCCAGAACTGGCACAGCACCATTTCTGCCACTTTCTGTGGCAAAGTCCTCAGATTCAAGATGAGAGACTGAAAGATCCCAAATCAGTGACCTAATGATACATCTCAAACTCTTAGAAAAACAAGAACAAGCAAATCCCAAAACAAATAGAAGGAGAGAAATAAT